AGAGGATTTGTGTTGAGGACGGCCCAAGAGAGCTGCACAACAGCACATGGTCTCACCATCTCTCCTGGTTAACCCCAGCTTCTTTACCCAGTTAAGTATGCAGCTTTAAGGATCGTCAGAACTGACTTCATCGAGAGAAGATGATAATCATTGCTCACAATAATTTGAGTTGCTGTAGGCAGCAGAGGTGGTAACTGAAGACTTAGGGACAGAGATATGTGTGCTGCTTCCTGGGTTTGTGAGACTGAGCATTGGTTTTACTTATTATTTTTAATCTGAGGCAACTGTGGTGCAGTTTTAAAGTCCACAGGGAAACCAAAATCTCAGGGTTGGTTACTTAGCCTCCACTTGACATATTTACTTACAATGCTAATCATTTACTCCTCCTGCCGCAGGATATGACTTAAAGAGACAAAATTAACCACATCTACAGAATAGTTCATTCAGCAGCTGAGAAAAACATTTCCCTTGGCTCAGGCGTAGCTGGTTTAAATCAGCGTCACTCCATGGAAATTGGAGACATACTGATCTTGCAGTGTCTAGCAAACTACTGAAGAGGCAAATGTGATGCTACCATATATCTAATTTCGCAGTACTCCTAGGGACAGTGAGGCAATCTAGCATCCCATTGTGGCCTACGGAAAAAATCTCACCAATTTTTAGAGAAATCAGATTTTATGTTCACACCTTTACAGATGCATAAATCTCTAGGCATTCGGCCAGGCTGCTGACCCCAGGTCCACCAGGAACAGGGCTCATCAGGTGTTCCCAGCACTTGTACACATACATACACAAAGAAAATACCACAAAAACACACAAACACACACCTGTAGACACAACCAGTCACCGGCAGACTGATACATACAGGAGAGCGATGTTTTTGCAGGCACCACTATCCACAGTCAGAATTGTCAAGATATGGACAACACAAATGGTCTGATCCTGGTTTTATGCACCACTTGATCAGGCTTCAAGCTTGCTGCCAGGTAGAATCGTAGAGTTGGGGAGGCATTTACGTTAGAAAAGACCTTTAGGATCATCAAGTCCAATTGATAAGCCAGAGCTGCCAGGTTCACCATTGAACCATGAGGCTGAGCTCCACATCTACATGTCTTTTCAACACCTCTAAGGGTGGAGACTCCACCACTTCCTTGGGCAGCCTGTTCCAATGCTTGACAACCCTTCTAGGGAAGAAATTTTTCCTAATATCCAGTGTAAATCTTCCCTGGTGCAACTTGAGGCCATTTCCTCCTGTTACTTGTGAGGGTACACTGACCGCCACCTCACTGCAACCTCTTTTCAGGTAATTTTAGAGAGTCAGAAGGTCTCCCCTGAGCCCCAACTCCTGCACACATATAAATGCATCCTCTGGTAGGTGGTACAAACCTGTCGTTGCCCTGTAACCAACTCCCAAATCCTTTGTTCTCTGCAGGAGGTGGCCTCCAGACTTGTGGTTTCTCATGGCTCCATGACTTCTTGTCTTACCTAGGTTCATGTGAAGTCTATAAATGTCACACATAGGTACAGAGCACACTCACTCAGGAAAAAAAAAATAGAAGTACGGGTTAGGAAGAAGGTAGACTAGTTTATGATGATCAGGTGCAGAGTTTGGCTGGAAAAATGCACAACACACCTGTGACCAGCATCCACATCCTCTCCAATATCCCGCATTTTAGCATCCCCAACCCACCCCTATCTCTCCTCATTTTTATCCCTTCCTCTACTCATATTGTAAGAAGTTTCACATACTCCCACAGTCCCCTTAAAGCATGCTCTAATGAGATCAGGTGCTGCTTCAGTGAATGAAATTGGACAGACTCTGTATATTTTCCAGCTCTGGAGGACTCCTCATGCCACGATGGGTAATGGTGCCCCTACTTGAGCAAAGGACATGGCCAGGGAGAGACCTTTTGCTATTCCCTAGTGTTCTGCATCGTCTTTCACATACCATATTGCCTTAGAGTCCTCTGAAGTATGACCAAATGTTGTGGGTTATAATATGCAATGGTAACAGCCAGAAGAATTTCTCTCAGGCTCTTTCTCGAAGGAGATCTGTTCAGACAGTAGGGTCCCTGGGGGCTACCTGATGAAACTTGGGAGACAGCACCAGTGACAAACCCCTGACTGAACACAGAAAATAGCATTAATAAAATCCATGTTATTCCTACCATGCTGTGGTCTGAGTTACAGATGCTCTCTGAAGATGTTAGAAGGCAGAGATGTGACATGGGACTTTCAGACCACCACACTTCCCGAATCTGTCCAGAAGGCTTCTTCTCCTTTGTCCAGCAAGAAAACCAACCCACCACGCTACGACTGGACTATTCAAAGCTCATTCTGACTTTAGGAACAAGTTTCCTACCAGGCAAACACAGCCCCAGAGCACTAGGTCTTGCATATTTGCCACTAAGCTGATCCAGTCTCAATTTAGCATTGGGCAAGACTTTTATGGAATGTGTTCTGGCATCATGCTCACACCAGTCCTGGAGGGGGGCACATCTCTGGCCCTTCCCTTTCCTCCTGGGATGAACATTGTGTTGCTGTCACCTGCTTTTATGGGGACCACAATATTCTGACTTCATCCATGCACTAAGAGCAAACGATGTCCTCCAGGTCAGTTCGTTCTGGTGTTGCTCATTCCTGTGTTCAAGGTGAGCACCTTCTGGAGAAATCTGGCTGTGTGTTATTTCCAGTTTGGTGAAGTGAAACCTTGCTCTACACCCACACTATCTGTGAAGTGGAGAAATGACTGTGAAGAATCCACTCTACTGTGCCTGGATTTCTTCTCAGACGGAGGTGTATAGGGCTAGTTCCAGGTTGGAGCATGAAAGCACAGTGACTTCTTGTATAGGATCATAGTATCATGGGATCATACAACAGTTCAGGTTGGAATGGTTCTTCAAGTCCAATTTCCCTGACATGGGCAGGGACATCTTTCACTAGAATCATAGAAAGAATAGGTGTTTGGGTTGGAAGGGACCTTTCAAGGTCATCTAGTCCAACTCCCCACTAGACCACGTTGCTCAAAGTTCGGGATCATAAAACACTTTGGGTTGGAATGGCTCTTCAAAGAGTGTCAAGTCCAATTTCCCTGACATGAGCGGGGACATCTTTCACTAGAATCATAGAATAGGTCTTTGGGTTGGAGGAACATTTCAAGGTCATCTAGTCCAACTCCCCACTAGATCACGTTGCTCAAAGTTCCATCCAATGTGACCTTAACACTTCTAGGGATGGGGCATCCACAACCTTGGGCAACCTGTTCTAGTGTATGTGTGAGGACAATCAGGGACTGGGGCCCTGGGATGAAGCAGAAAGTAAGTTCAAACCCAACATAAAAATTTTGGCTAAAATACTTTGGGTTTTCTGGAAAAGGACACTAATTTTCAGAAAAGCCTGCATCTCACGCTATGAAGCAATAGATTTCAGTGCTTGCAAAAAGATGTCATTGTGACATAGACTTAGAAACCTTTTATCAACCCAAATTTCTCCATGTTTGTTTGTGTTTAAGGATGTCTCAGTGCAGACAGAATAAAAATAGAAAAAAAACCCCAATAAAACAAAACAAAGAAGAGGCAGAGACAGCAAACAATTCCCACTGGAGTTTAGCTCATCTATTCGTGAGGGCTTTCCTTAGCTCTCCAGCAAAGACACTCATGAGCAAAGTATCTGCCTCCAGCATTTTCTATCGATGGACCCGTTGAGGAAAACAACCACCTTCTCCTCCTTCTCTCCGGCTCTTTTCACCATTAGAACTCTGTAGCAGGGAATGAAAAATCCCAGATGGGCTGGTGACTCACACTGGCCGTCAGTTTGGTACCACAGGATGAAGATTTTTTCAGCATTTCAGTTCCTGGAGAGAAGAGGGTCAAATGTTCAAAAGTTATGAACTTTGCAGAAGCTGTCTTTAAAATGTAATGCTTCCCTGTGAGTCTAGTGTTTGTTTATTTGAAGAAAAACTATTTTTTCCCTGATCAAGGGCTCTAGGTCTAGTATAGACAAAAGCGCATGGAAGTAAATAATTAAAGTAGTTGCAGTCTCATGTAAATAAAAACAGTAGGTATTTGTGTATTCACAAATTAACATTGCATAAAAATTGTCTTCTAGCATTTTCCTGGCTGAATATCTGACTTTGTAGTCTGATAGTCTGATATTGATATTCTTAATATTTTTGCCTAAATCCCACGGGTTTTCTAATTCACTGATTCTTTTCCCCTCTTTGCACAGGGATTGAGCCTACAGTCATGATTTTGGGAGTAATGCTGATAGTTGCCCTGATGCTTTGTGCTGTGGGTCTGGCTTCTCTCATCAGGTGAGAACTGCAGGACATACTTGATTTGGTGCCACTTTTAGTTTATAGAATCGTAGAATGATTTGGGATGGAAGAAACCTTCCAAATCATCTAGTTCCAAACCCCCCGCCCTGGGCAAGGACATCTCCCACCAGACCAGGTTGCTCCAAGGCCCATCCAACCTGTCCTTGGACGCTTCCAGGGAGGGGGCTGCCACAGCTTCTCTGGGAAACCTGTGGTAGGGTCTCACTACCCTTACAGAAAAGAATTTCTTGTGTGTATCTAACCTAAATCTACCTTCTTTCAGCTTGAAACTGTTCTCCCTCCTCCTGTCACTGCACTCCTTGATCAAGAGTCCCTCCCAATCTTCCATGTAGCCCCTTCAGGCAGTGGAAGGTCACTATAACGTCTCCCCATAGCCTTCTCTTCTCTAGGCTGAAGATCCCCAACTCTCTCAGCTTGTCCTCATAGGAAAGTTGTTCCAACCCCCCTGATCACCTTCATGGCCTTCTCTGGACCTGCTTTATCAGGTCCATGTCCTTTTTATGTTGTGGACCCCAGAGCTGGACACAAAACTGCAGCTAGGGTCTTACTGGAGTGGAGTAGAGGGGAAGAATCACCTCCCTCAAACTGCTGCCCACGCTTCTCTTGATGCAGCCCAGGATGTGATCGGCTTTCTGGGCTGCAAGTGCATGTTGTTGGCTCATGTTTAGTTTTACATCCACCAACATCCCCAGGTTTTTCTCTTCAGTACTTCTCTCCATCCACTCATCATCCAGCCTGTATTTATGCTTGGGATTGCCCCAACCCAGCTGCAGGACCTTGCCCTTGGCCTTGTTGAGCCACATTAGGTTTGCACGGTCCCACCTCTCAAGCCTGTCCAGGTCCTTCTTGATGACATCCTTTCCCTCCAGCGTGTCAACATCGTGTCATCCGCAAACTTGCTAAGGGTCCAATCAATCCTACTGTCCCATGTTGCTGACAAAAATGTTAAACAACACCGGTCCCAGTACTGATCCTTCCGAAACACCACTCATCACCCGTCTCCACTTGGACATCAAAATTTTCATCTCAATTCTTTGAGTGCAACCTTCCAATCTTTATCTGCCAAGTGATCCATCCATCCTTATTGATGTCTACAATGGTGTATGGCTGAAATTAGACTGAAATTATTTTGAAATTTGAGGGAAAATTGACTCAGCAGCAATGGGACCAGCAGAGCAGGGTTCTTGGATTGTATCATCCAGCTCTACCTCTCAAATTTCTTTTGGTCTCTTCTTGGTCTCTTCTAACAGAAGCTGTTCTATGACTCTATGAAAACATCCCAAAACATGTTTCCTCTCCGCTCCTGAACCATGCCTCCAAACTTGGACAATATAAGGCCACCCAGCGAGCAACAACCCAAACAGTTCCTCTGTTATAACACACAGCTGCTTCTGATACCTTATATTTGCAGGCACCAAGGAGGTTGCCTCCATCCACCCGCATTTTCAAGCCCTTGGCCACCAGCCTCTATAGTTACATAAATAAAAGACAATCCTGCTGCCTACTCTACTCGTAAGCTGTTCCACAAGTACCAGACTGTGCTTGGGAAGGCTCAGTCGTGAGTAAAGATGTATGGCCATCTGCAAGAGGGAAAAATTAAAAAAAAGGAATGTCTAGAATGACTCAGACTATGATTTATGTTAAGGAAGGGCATGTCAGGAACTAAATTTAATCCAGTGTGGTCTGAGTTCGAACGTGGGAGCTCTGGTTTTAGCTCTTTCAAGGATCTACTGCTTGACCTTAGTTGTGAGTCACTCCATTCTCTGTGCTTTGCTTTCAGCAGAAGGGTGTTTTCCTCCATCCTTGGGGGACCTTCTTGGCCACCTTGCCCAGGTGGCCAGGAAAACCAATGGCATCCTGGCTTATATTAGAGATAGTGTGACCAGCAGGAGTAGGGAGGGGATTGTCCCCCTGTGCTTGGCACTGGGGAGGCCACCCCTGGAGTGTTGTGTCCAGTTCTGGGCACCTCAACCCAAGAGAGATCTCGTGGGGCTGCAGCGAGGGCAGAGGAGGGTGACGGAGCTGGTGAGGAGCCTAGAGAATAAATCTGATTAAGAGTGATGGAAGGAGCTGGGGCTGTTGAGTGTGAAGAAGAGGAGGCTGAGGAGAGCCCTCATCCCTCTCTGCAACTGCCTGACAGGACGTTGTGGAGAGGTTGGGGCTGGTCTCTTCTCCCGGGGAAGGAGCGACAGAACCAGAGGGAACGGCTGCAAACTGCACCAGGGCAGGGTCACACTGGGCAGCAGGAAAATGTTTTCCCAGCAAGAGCCGTCAGAGCTTGGCACAGGCTGCCCAGGGGGGGGGGTGAGTCCCCACCTCTGGAGGGGGTTCAAGGTCGTTGAGATGTGGGGTTGGGGGAGATGGTTTAGGGGTGAGCTCTGTAGAGGCAGGATCCCAGGGGGCTTTTCCAACCTGAAGGATTCTAGGATTCTGTGGTTCTATGACATGATTGACCATGCAAGGTGAAAAGTGACAAGTTCTTTGCATGAAATTGAGTTGTGGGCTTGAGGCAAAGCAGTTAAAGATTATAAGAAATCATCCCAGGTGATGCCTGTGGCCGTATGACCAAGGCTGCCTCTGAACACCAAAAAGCTGCCTGTGCTCTCCTAAAATGCCCAGAGTGGTACATGTGATGGAAATCGTGGTGATCTATGGATATTTTGTGAAGTACAGTACAGTTAGCAAAAGGCATCTTATTGTCCACCTCATCAGGAAAAGTTTTAGGTGTGTGCAGATCAGACATGTGCTGCAGTGTAAAAAAAGTTCCTTAAACCAAAAATTGTCATTGAGGGCAAATGGGGGATATTGCCTTTTTCTTTTCTGTTCCTCCTTAATGAGTTTTTGACTAATAGACACAGTGTGCCTTGTGCTCAGTGTTAGACCCTGACATCCACTGAAATAGTGTGTTCAAAATGATGGGATGTGATTCCTGCCTCTTTCCTAAGTCCCTGAGATGGCCATATGGTGGGTGTGAGTGTCAGATATTTCTCATCTAAAAACTAACAATGAGACTCTGGAATAATTTGTATGGATTTGCATGAAGTGGACGTGAGACTGAACTGTCCCATGAACACACAATCCTTGAACATTTCTCATCGTGGTCACTTCTGCCTTGCAAATTCAAGCTGGGCAAATAGCAGGATGCAGTCAAACGGGTAGTGTCCTTGCTGGTCTGATGACTATACTGAATTTTCTCTTGCACCGTTGGCAATTCTGCAAATCTGGTGGCTTATCAAGGGATGCAGAAAGTCATCCCTCATAAAACAGGCAGCAGCACCCTGTGGAGGTCCCAGAAGCACATTTGTCCTGTATTATGCGGCGCGTGATAGACCTCCCATCTGGCTCAGGTCCTGGAACAAGTAGATCTGAATCAGCACAGTCTTGTTCTTGATCTAATTACTCCTGACCAAGAGGAACAGCACTAGTTCAGCGATGCTCCTTCCAAGACCTCCACGTCGCATCACGCTGCTCCCAACTGCTCACCCCCTGCAGCTTTTCCCTCTGTACGAGTCATTACAAGGATGCATCTTGCTGTGTGTTTCACACTGCGCTACAATACAGAGATTCAGCCAGCACATTTTGATGGTGAGCTGTGTCCAGGCAGCTTTTATAAATTACCCATGGTTCAGTGCAGGCCCTGAGAAAGGCTGGTGTGCCTGAGAGATGTTAGATTACCAGCCAGATGGGCTGGTTAATAAAATCTACTATTCTCTTCTAATGGAGAGTGGTTTGAGATATGGAAAATAAAACCAAGTTAAAAAAAAAAAAGACATTACATACACAGCCAATTCGTGTTTGCAGCCAGATTGACTCAAGATGTCCGTTTGTGATGAGAGCTTTTGAGATTATATAGCTTCTGTGAATTGGATAATGCTGTTTGACTCAGTAGATGTCAATCCAAGTGAGGACATCGTGGTTTGTCTACTGCTTTCACCCACGTCTGTCCCTGCTGACACACCACATGCTGCACTTTCCTCGTGCTGCAGGGAAGCCAAATGTGGGGGACTTGGCAGTGGTGCAAACTGCTTGCCTACCTAAAAATGGTAACTGTGGCTCTCCAAATCCCCCAGGCACAATATCCTGAACAGCCAACTATTCAGGGGACCTAACAAGATCATACTGACCTTGGATGATGTTGTCTTCATCAACCCAGAGCTACATAAAAAGGTAAGTCCTTCCTCTCATAAAAGTGATCCATGGGACCCTCAAAGATGCAATTTCTCTGTGGTGTTTTCCTACCCATGAAGGTCTGGGAAGGTCATTTACTACTCCATGCCTCATTTTCCCCTGTGAATCAGAAGGTTTCCCATATGCTGGGTGTTTTTGAATCTCGGGTCAGATGTCAAGGCCATTATGATGGTGTAAATGGTACCCTTGGTTGCACTTATTTTAACAGCCAGGGCTTATTCTTCTGTCTTGAGGTTGGATGGCCTAGCATAGCTCATAAACCATCTTGCCCTATAAATTAAAGTGCCATCATCCAAACTACCTATAGGGTACCGTTCCTGGCCTGCGCTGCCTCCTGCCCAGAGCTGGAGATCTCCTGGAGGAGTGTTATTTGACACAGGCCAGAGCCATGCCCAGGACCCTGCCAACGATATGGACTCTTGTGGGACAGTCCCTTTGCCTAGGTCGCTGTCACAGACACAGATTTCTTGCCTATTCCAGAAACGTCACTTCACTGTGCCTTGCTCAAAGAGACACTCACCTTCTCTGGTGTCTTCCCTGAGCCACGGCACTCCCATCACCTGAAGTGCTGCTGCAGTGCTTCAAGGTACTAAACCAGGTAAACTTTATGAGCCTTTCAGAGGTGTTCAGAGAGGTGAGATGGGAAGTTTGGGAGGTTGCTGACATGGGTGAGCTCTGTGACCCAAGGCAGAGCTGAAGCGGAGGTTAACATCCAAAAGTGGTCACTGTTTTGAACCTGCTTTCCTCACCTTCCAGAGGCTGACCTTGGACAGTCTGACTGAAGCAAACAGCGTAGTAGCCGATAGCAGAAGCCTGAAATCCGTAACCCGCTCCTTTTCCTTGAGAAGTGCAGCTGCCACTCACGAAACCTCCAACGTGGCTTTGTATGAGGTAGGCAGGGACCTTGTGCAGCCTTCTCCCACCCCTTCTGTCCACTGAGCTGCTCAAGTGAGGAAGGCCTTGGGCTGCAGTACTGTAGGTCACAGGATGGGAATACTGCTCATGGGCCCCAAGGGTGAAAATAAATTACTCCCAAGCATGGACTTACCAGTGTTTAAATTGACTTTACCCCACCTCTCACTCTAACACCGTGGGATGGTGGTATTCAGCTGCCACCCACGAAACCTCCAATGTGGCTTTGTATGAGGTAGGTAGAGACCTCATGCAGCCTTCTCCCACCTGCTCAAGCGAGGAAAGCCTTGGCTTGCAGTACTGTAGGTCACAGGATGGGAATACTGCTCATGGGCCCCAAGGGTGAAAATAAATTACTCCCAAGCATGGACTTACCAGTGTTTAAATTGACTTTACCCCACCTCTCACTCTAACACCGTGGGATGGTGGTATTCAACAGTCGTATGTAGCATTGCCAGGTCTGGTCCCTGTTAGAGATGAAGAACCTATCTTAAGGGACAGCCTTTAGGTGGTGACAATGGTAGTAAAGACATTTCTTACATGACAGGATCCAAATATGCAGAATAAGAGCTATTAAATTCCCCTTCATGCCAATAGGACTGTATGGAGTTTATGTAGAGGTAATGGCCAAGAAAACTCACCCCATCCATCAGTTCTTCCCTAAAACCACAGCTTTTTGAAAAAAACAGAGAGGAAATTTTTACTTGAAAAGAGGCACAATAAAATAGATTGTTAATGCTGGAGAAAAGCTCTGGGCAGAGTTACTTTTCTTTTTAATCAATTTATCATTGTTTATCAGATACTGATACACCTTCCAGGTGTGAAGTTGAGAGGCAGATAATGGTCCTGCCTCACCCCATTTTTTGAGGGTTTGCTGAGGATGTTCTCACTTGGGTGCAGAAAGAATCTTCTGCCGAGAATATTGAAAAACCCCAAATATTTTCCAAGTCAGGGATCTGTAATTCAGACCTAGCTCCTAAAACTACCTGTTGTTAATAGATATGTTCTTTCATTCACCCACCTGTATGGTGGACAGGGAGACTGGGTATGGCTGAAAAAATTTGAAACGGGAGCAGTTCACAACCTGCGGCAAAGCTCCACCAGCATCTTGAGGAAGGTAAGAGGCACAGGGGATGACGGGGCACGTGGATGGAAGGTTGCTCGGGGGGACTGCAGGGTATTTTTATTCTCCTTATCCCCTGTTTGTCCATTGAATCATGCATCGAGGCTGTCAACGAGGCTTGCCTGGTGAGATCTGGTGGAACGGACCACGCACGATTGCATCTAACAAACCTACTCCGGACCTGCAATGTTGGATGTGCAAGAAGTCCTCTGTCTGTGAAGGCAGAGCGGTTTGGGGGAAATTGTCTTTTTGTCAGGGCAGGATGATGCACTAGTGGCTACTTTCATGTGGTTTTTTGTTGAGAGGGTGGCACACACACACACTGTCATGCATTTCTCTGGGATTTGTTTCATGTCTTCAACTGAGACGCCTGCTAAAAGTCTACTTTTACTTATCTGATTTATTATTATTACTAAATGACAGGCAAACAAATGTATTTTCCACATTCAAGGCCATTAGTTGTTGGCAGCTACTGCTGACATAGGAGTGGCATTTTTTTAGAGAATCATACGCATATAAATATCGTGAGTTTACCAGGGCATGTCTCCAAAAGCACTGTTGATGGATGACTTTGGATCCTCCAGGCATGATATTGCTTTCCAGATCAGACCAGAGCTGGAGAAAGACTCCACATTCCAAACTCAGTTTATCCCAGCATAGCCATTTTGTCCTGGTGGAAGATCCAATCCAGTTTGTCTAAAGAAAAACAAATTTCTGTTCGGTTTGCTTTCACGATCTTGCTTTCTTTGTCTTAATGGATAGACCAAAGCTTAGAAAGAG